CACTTCTTATTCTGTGCCAAGGATGAACCAGCTCTCACAGGTTGTCCTCTGGCTATCACACATGTATGTACACACACACACACACACACACACACACACACGATAAATGCAATCTATAAAACAGAAATGATTGTGTATTTTGTGCCTGAATAATTTAATTATAAAGTGGTATGATAAAACTCTCCAGTAAGACACAGCTGAATATAATACAGTTATTGTCTGACTCCCATTTCCAGTCTAGACTACCTCACAGTGAGTTGGCTGGACCATATGTAGTCTTGACACACAGACTGGAGTTGAAGAAGTAGAACAGTAGCCTAGGAAGCAACCATCTTGTGAACAATTGGGAGGGTCCTGGTTCCATCTGCAGTCAGCCATGAGCACTGGTCTATTACAGGAGCGCTGGGGCCCTTTGTTTGTCCCAGCCGCCTGGCTAGCTTACACCCAAAATAATCACACAGAAACTGCATTCATTTAAACACTGCCTGGCCCATAAGCTCTAACTTCTTATTGGCTAATTTTTACATCTTAATTTAACTCATTTTTATTAATCTGTGTATCACCATGTGCCAGTGGCTTACTGGGAAAGATTTAGCATATCTTGACTCTGGCGACTTCATGGCAGCTCTCTGTCTCTCCATGACTCTGCTTCCTGTTTCCCACAATTGAGTTCTGTCTCCCCACCTACCTAACTTCTGCCCTATCACCAGGCCCAAAGTAGTTTCTTTATTAACCAAAGAAAGCAACACAAATACAGAAGGACCTCCTACACCTCCAGTCTCATTATCTTCACCTCGTCATTTTTGTGACAATCCACATGTACTGTTGTGATAGGGCAAAGTCCATTCTTTTCAAGGATGTGTTCCCTGAGGACCCAGGCTCCAATAGATGGCTCTGTTATGTCCGTGTACCTCCTGGTATCGCTGAGTGAACTCAATGGGGGAAAAAACAACATGAATCAGAATTGACCAAAACTCATTGCATTTATAAAAAAAAAAAACTCAAAAAGTAAAAGATATTACTTTTCAATGACAAAAAAAAATGACCTGCATCTTATGCTGCCAAACATCAGATTATGGCTGGTTGTGTTATATTTTCGAGAGAGGTTCTCAAAACGGACATTGCAGCATCCACCCTCCCCATGTCCTCTCTAGTATTCCCTGGTTTTCTGAAACATAGGATGAGAAGTACCTCTCATTAGTGATCAGACAAGCAGCCACATGCCTCAGTTTTGAAAAATATAAGACATTCTCATTAATTCTATACTGGAAATACTGAAACGTGTTATTGCTTGTGAATAACTAATATCTGAGCATCTCAAGGGTTGTGGTCTTAGCTCTGCCAGGCAGCTGCTCTGTCTGTGTCCCCTGCCTATGTATTTGCTTATCTAGTTATCCTTTCCTTCTCATACAATCCTCCTAAAAGTTCCAGCTTGTCCATGGAAGTACATGGCCAGGGCTCCTTCAGGATGTGAGCGGTCTCAGCACTGCTCTTTACACTGCTCCAAACTGTATCCTCAGTCAGTGTGCCCAAGGCCACATGAAGGAGAAGGTGATGGGAAAAAAGTCAGAGATGAAGAGGAGAGGCAAAGGGGACAAATGAGAAGGGGCCAGAGGAAGCTCAGGGTCCCAGATGAACAGGTTTCAGTTCCGGTTCTATTAGTTAGTCTTTATGTGTCCTTGGACAAATTTCATAGCCTTCTGTGCCTTACTCCCACACTGTGAAAAACTGGGGGTAATAATAGAGACACTTCACAGGGGTTTGTGGCAGTTAATTAAAGTTCTTGGCACATAATTAGATTTCTCTAAAAATCCTACTGCTATTATGATGATCATCATTATTGTCCCAGAGTAAAGAACTGGAAACCATGGAGAAAAATGTTTCCTAGATTGTCGTAACAGATGACCCCATATTGGGTGGTTTAAAGCAAGGGAACTATATTGTCTCACAGCTCAGGAGTTCCAGGGTCCAAAAGCAAAGTATTCCTAGGTCAGCTCATTCAGGAGACTCTCGGGGAAGAATCTAACCCTGCCACTCAGTGAGCTTACATAATGGGGTACATCACATTTTCTACTTTCAGATTTTCTGCATCCCTGGTTCTTTTTCTTTCTGTTTCCTACAAAGACAGTTTTGCTACACTTCTTTTCCATCCTAACCCAATATGATTTCATCTCAAACCATATTTTAATTATGTCTGCAAAACCCTTACAACAAATAAGGTCATAGTCTCTAGCAACTACCAATTGATTGGGATCAACAAGGTGAAGTAATGCTTCTAACCTTGGAAATGAAGTTCATAGGCTCCAATGACTGTGCTGTATAAGTCAACAATTTGGTAAAACATGCCAGCAACTTCCGGGTCATCAGCTGTGAGTTAATTAATATTCTCTTGTTTAAACTGTGATAAACATCTTTGGAGGAAAGTTGGAAGCACCCAAAAGGGCAGACTGCACTTGTCTGCTCCTGTGTCATCTCTTCTGACATTGCCATTTTATTTTATTGTATTTTATCCTGTTCTCTAACCCCAGATGATGGATACAAAGTGTTGACCAGGGTTTCCATCCCACCTGGTCCCACATCCATTTAGTAACAAATAGTCTGCATTAATCATAAACTGGTTGGCCTAGTAGCTCAGGCTTCTAATTAACTCTTGTAACTTGTATTAGCCCATTATTTTTGCCTGTGTTAGCTACATGGCTTGGTACCTTTTTTCAGCGAGGCAGTCACATCTTGCTTGCTCTGTGTCTCGCTTTCTCTGTGTCTGGGTGATGACTGCAGACTGACTCTTTCCTGTTCCCAGGATTCTCCTGTTCTCGTTGCCCTGCCTATACTTCCTGCCTGGCTACTGGCCAAACAGCATTTTATTAAAATACAATTGACAGGGTAGAAGCCATTGTCCCACAGCATGAACTGTGACGCCTCAGGAAACTAGATTGTAATAACGGGTTCTCCAATTTCATAACTTCACTTACCCCTTCATGGCCTCAGACAATGTATTTGTCTCATCCAACCTTTGATTTCCACAAAAGACCACCAACAATTTGTAGAGTGACTCTTGTTATAAAAACGAATACACAAAGAGACTTCACCAAAAAAATACATTTCAGGGAATGATTGCTATTTGGTTCAATCTGTGCTGCTATAACAAAATCCAGACACCTTAAATATATTAAGAATAAGAATTTGTTTCTCATGGTTCTAGAAACAAAAACACTCAAAATCAAGTCACAAGTAGGTTCAGTGTCTGGAAGGAACTGGAGCTCTGTTCCTAAGACAGTGCTTTATTGCTGGTTTCTCCTGAGGTGACAAACTCCATACTCATCTGGTGACAAAAGGTCCCCTAGTCCTGCCATACATTTTCCAAGCCCATTCCTGAGCACTGTGGCCTCTATCACCTCCCAAATGCCCTTCCTCCTAGTATCACACCACTAACCAAGTATCAACACATAAATTTGGAGGATAAATTCCGACAGTCGTCATTATCATTAGCATCGAAGCAGTTCATTGCTGTCTTCCTTCCTTTGAGAGAATGCCTGGCAAAGGGACCCCGAAGAAAATCTAGGAACGTTCACGAGGACGAGGACGAATCCCACCTTCTCTACCTCCACCCACTACCACTCCAGCACAGAGTGCATAGACCAAGCACTCAGCCAGTATTCATGGAATGAAATACTGTAGTGATTGCATTCCCAGCACAAGCACAGATCTCAATGAATAAACTTATAGTAGCCTGTCAGATTGGAGTCAAACCAGGACAGTCTATGGCAGATTCCTCCCATTCGCTGCAAAGAGTAGGCTGCCAAGCAAAGACAGCATAGCAGCGTGAGGCTTGTAATGCATGTCAACATTCAGCAAGGCTTGGACCAAATAGCAGTCTTTTTTGTTTGTTTGTTTGTTTGTTTTTTGAGACAGGGTTTCTCTGTGGCTTTGGAGCCTGTTCTGGAACTACCTCTTCTAGACCAGGCTGGTCTCGAACTCACAGAGATCTGCCTGCCTCTGCCTCCTGAGTGCTGGGATTAAAGGCGTGCGCCACCACCCCTCGGCCAAATAGCAGTCTTTATTGCCCATTTCTCATGAGTGCATATAAAATTAAAACATGTTCATTGCAGAAACTGTGGAAAATATAGTAGGCAAGAAGACTAAGATTATTCCTGACCTCATATTATTTTTCTTTAACAATATGACATTTTCTTAGTCCTTAGTCTGCAACATCAATTTTAACAGCGTTGTAGCCTTCTGGTATATATTTAGGCTATCACTCAGTGCATGAATTTACTTGGTTCTTAATATTTTGTTGCTGAAAATAAAAATATAAAGATGTGAATTTATTATTTATAACTTTATAAAGTGTCAATGACATGGTATTTATTGTAGCCCTGTTCCTTTTCCAAATGTTACAATTAACCAAAACATTAATCTGATTGGTTTATGTGGAACTGATTTTCATAGGCAAACTAGTCTTCTCTCAGCTTTGACTACATTATCTTAAGCAAGTGCTCTCACAACCCCACCATTGCCAGCCCAGGAAGCAATAAGTAGTCAGCCTTCTCAAGTCTGCTGCTTAAATAACTTGTTCAACATAAGGGCTAATGAGGCCAGTGTCGTGGGGATTTGAGCTCTGTCTAGGCAGAATGGCGAATTAAAAGTCCAAAGGCAGTGTTCTCAACTCCAAACAGCTGCAATTTAAATGATGTCTATTAGTTTCCAAGGAGCAGGGCAGAAAGCATGGGTGGATCAACACAAATTCATCACCGCCCTCCTCCAGGTGGAAAGCAGCTTAAAAAAATATCTGTGTCAAATCGAGAAAGAAAAAAAGAAAAAGGTGGTTAAGGTTGTAGAAGGACAAGGCGAAGACTCGGGGATACAATTGACTGGCCTTGTACCTCAAAAGCTGCTTATAGGCACAGTCTGTATGCCCCCCCATGCACTCTCTATAGGAGACAAATGACCCCAGATGTATTAACAGAAACTGGCATGTTAAGTGGTATCATCTCTTGCAGCTGACACAGCCCTGGGCACTGACGATGTATATGACGAGAAAGGATGCCAGTGTGACGTGTCCGTGGAGGACCTCACCCCACCACTTAAGACTGTCATTAGAGCTATCAGGTGGGTAAAAACCATGAGACAGATGAGCCTGGCACGTCTCTGATTATTTGTATTCCTATGTGGCTGCCGCCTCTTTCCAGCAGGTAGGTCTCCTGGAATAACTATCTCCCGTTTGGGGTTCATCCACATGCTTTTTTAACTCACGAAGTGTTTTTATTCTTCATTAAGGAGCTGGGCTGCATTCCACATGAGATATGATAGAGATGGTGGGTGGCATTTGAAAATGCAGACCATACCAGGGAGATGACATGAGAACTGGGATGCTGTGTTGTATTTGTTGCTTTGGGAACATTTGGTTTATGGGTACAACTGGATTTTTTTAAATTATTTTATGCCTTTATTCGGTGGCATATGTTTCATATTTTGTACCAAAGGAAAAACCCTCTAGGCTACTTGAAATAAGATTGAGCTCTGAACAGGGGAAGCCCAAGATACTCTGCAGTCATGGTTAGTAGGGAATCTAAATCTGCTTTTTCTACACTGGCAAAGAGTTAAGAGAGGACCCATGTTAGCTCCAGCTCACACTTACTAAACCTCACACACATATGAAACATTCACAATGTAGATGAACAAGTTGCTGTTTATTGTGCCTTCCCGACTTAATCCCTGTGGGGAACCTCTATCTAATTGTATATATCGGGGGACCTGTTTGGCTTTCTTGCTTGACATGTCCTACATCTTACCAAGAAGCCAGGAAATGGCTTAAAATAGCCACCCTAACTCAGTGTGTTCAGGTATTCGCTCTAACCTCCAATATCGGTGAATTAATCACTTGCCGCTAGTTTGAGTTGATCATTTTACATGATGTTACATGTGACTCTGTGGTTTCATTGGGAAACACTGGGCAAGCAGAAATTAGTTACCCATAAATGTTGGTGGGGGTAAAGAAAAACATGATATTACGAATATGCATAATGCTCCAGAAGATGCTTAAATGATCTGTATCCACAAGCTAACCCAAAGTGTAGCAAAGATTAATTGTCCTACAGAAATGGAGGTTCCTTTTCGGGCCAGATGGTCTCCGGTTATGCCCCACATCTAATTGTAGCTGTACATAGTACTACAAGCCTTCCTCACTAGGTACCAGTTTGAGCAACCAGTTACATAGTTACCACATTCTCATGGACAACTGAGAAGTCCTAAGTGGCATTTAAGTGAGGCATGATAGCACATGTCTATAATCTTAGGTATAAGTCTGAGGTCAGCCTGGACTACTTAGGGAAACCTCACCTCACAAAAAAATATACGTATGTATTTAAGTCCAGGAAACTCAGAATATGTAGGGGAATAATGTCAGAAGCCTTCAACTAAGGGATAGTGATAGGGCTAACCAGAGGATTAGAGGTTAAGAGCACTGGCTGCCCTTCTCCAAGACCCAAACTTAATTCCCAGTACCCACATGGTGACTCACTGTAATTACAGTTCCTGTGGGTCCAATGCATTCTTCTAGCCTCTTCAGACACCCAGGTCCTTATTCAGAGGACAGACAGACATTCATGCAAACAAGACACCCATACACATAAAAATTTTTAAGTTTAAAAAGAGACAATTAGGACTGGGAAATGCACTATTCGTTATGGAAGCTCCTTGTTACAAAAGGATATTTAGATTTGAATTAGTTAAAATGAAAAACGATTGAAAATGTAATTGCTCAGTTGCACAATGCACATTTCAAATGCTTAGTATCCAAAGGCCCACTATGACAACCGTATTGGACAAAAGTAATAAGTAAAACCAGCAACATTCTATCATCACAGGAATTCTTATTGGACATTCCCGCTCTGTAAGTCACCTTCAGATTCTTTACATGCTTTGGCTATTTCTATCATAGGCCCGGACATAAAGGTCGGAGAATTCAGTCCACAAATTCATCCAACTTGCAACAAGTACCTTAAATCTTATCTAGGAGAAGCAGATCAGGCTTCATAAAAGTCAGACTTAACAAAGTTTCCAGCCATTTCCGCAGACCCTCTGTAACTTTCGCTTTTGCCTCACAGCCGCTAATAAAAGGATCGTGGGCTGCTGGAAAAAAAAAGAGTTAGGTTTATTCTGCTGTTCTGAGCACTTTAGCGACAGTTTTAGATTTACTTTGCCCTTCCTGAAATCGGCTGATGTTTGTAAAGTCTTTTGCCAAATTCCCTTGTTTTTCAGAACTCTTTCTCTGTCCACCCCTCCTTTTTTTTTTTTTCTTGTTCATTGTTTGGTCTGGGATTTTGTATTTTGTATTTTTGTTTGGGCTTTGTTTGTTTTTTAGGACAGGGGCTCATGTAGCCCAGGCTGGTCACAAACACAAACATATTATGTAGCTAAGACTAGTCTTAAATACCTGGTCCTCCTGCTTTTATGCCCCTAAAGCTGGCATTTCAAGCGTCTGCCACCACATCCAGCTTGGTTCTTCTTTGTATGTGTGTTCCGTGCACATGTGAGTGTATGGGATAGAGGGAGTCTGCACACCAGTGTGGATGAACAGAAGCCAGAGTACTATACCATATGCCCTGCTCAATCACTGCCTTGAGGCACGGTCTTTCATTGAACCTGAAACCAATATTATTTTTAGGGGTTGGGTTGTTATTGTTGTTGTTATTAGGTTGGCTTTCTGGTTGGTTTTTCAAGGCAGAGTTTCTCTGTGTAGCTTTGGAGCCTGTCCTGGAACTAGCCCTGTAGACCAGGCTGGCCTGAAACTCACAGAGATCCATCTGCCTCTGCCTCCCAAGTGTTGGGATTAAAGGCATACGCCACCACCGCCCAGCTGAGTTAGTGATGTTTTAGGTAGAATATCTGGTCAACAAACCCTAGCAATTCTCCTGTGTTCACCTTCTAACCATATCCTGCTGTGGGGGTTACAGGCTGGTGTAGAAACATCTGGCTTTTACAATTAGCTGCTGGAGTCTGAACTCAGGTCCTCTTGCTGAGGCAGCAAGTGTTGTTACCAACTTAGCCATCTTTTCAGCCCATAGTTTTTATTTTTAGTTGAACTTCATGGCTGAGGTGTCTGCTTTTGCGGGGATTTTGAAGCTTTTGATGATGATACTTGATACCTGGGGGATATCTTCCCCCTGTGTTCTGATTCTGCCTGGGGTTGTTTAAATCACTCCCAAGTTCCACGTAAAAGAATTAGATTAGCTACTATTAAAAACTTAAAAGCCACTAGACTAAAGAGTTTACTAACAGTCTGGAGTTGTTCATCCATGTAAGTTAAAGGTTTCCCAGCAACCACATGGTGGCTCACAGCCATCTCTAATGAGATCTGGTGCCCTCTTCTGGCCTGCAGGCAGAACGATGTATACATAGTAAATAAATAAAATCTTTTAAAATAAAAACTATTTTTGTAAGACACCTATTTTCTGATCACTGACAAACATCACCCACATACTACACATAACAGCCAAGTTACAAGATTAGTCTGTCTGCCCGACAACAAATGGGTGGGTCAGGAAACTGCGGAATACACACACAGCAGAGCACTACCTGGTCATAGAAGAAGAACGAAATGCCATTTATAGGAAAACAACTGACGAAACTGGATTGTACTTCAAGTGAAATAAGCCAGACCCTGAGGAAGGCTGATATGGCATGCTTCCTCTCATGTGCAGAATCTACACTTTCAAAAGAAAGTTTGTAGGGGGAAGATTTAGAGAAGGAGAAGGGCTGGCAATAGGAGGAAGGGTCCAAGGGACGCTATAGAAAGTGAATGCTATTGGAGTAAATTGTATACATATATGAAAATATCAAAATGAAGCCAGTTATTTTGTATGACTGACTTTTTATTTTTTTTATTTATTAAAGATTTCTGTCTCTTCCCCCACAGCCACCTCCCCTTTCCCTCGCCCTCCCCCAATCAAGTCCCCCTCCCTCGTCAGCCCAAAGAGCAATCAGGGTTCCCTGCCCTGTGGGAAGTCCAAGGACCACCCACCTCCATCCAGGTCTAGTGAGGTGAGCATCCAAACTGCCTAGGGTCCCACAAAACCAATAGGTGCAGTAGGATCAAAAACCCATTGCCATTGTTCTTGAAATCTCAGTAGTCCTCATTGTCAGCTATGTTCAGCGAGACCGGTTTTAACCTAGGCTTTTTCAGACCCAGGCCAGCTGGCCTTGGTGAGTTCCCGATAGAACATCCCCTTTGTCTCAGTGTGTGGGTGCACCCCTCGCGGTCCTGAGTTCCTTGCTCGTGCTCTCTCTCCTTCTGCTCCTGATTTGGACCTTGAGATTTCAGTCCGGTGCTCCAATGTGGGTCTCTGTCTCTGTCTCCTTTCATCGCCTGATGAAGGTTAATATTCAGGAGGATGTCTATATGTTTTTCTTTGGGTTCTCCTTCTTATAATGACCAAAAAAAAAGAAAAGAAAAGAAAAAGAAACTGCCATTACCTTGACATGGTCTTCCATAATGCAGAGCATCTGATTATTTAGGAATGTCTGGAGCTGAGTGATAGTTACATTTCATGCTTGTATTAGTATTGCATCCACTACGGAAGTATGAATCTGGTCTTGATGAGATAACTCAGTGGTCAAGAGCCCTTGCTACTCTTACAATGGACCAAAGTTCAGTTTCCAACACCCAAAATAAGTGGCTCACAACTGACTATAGTGTCAGCTCCAGGAGATCGAGAACCGTCTATGGCCTCCCTGGGCAGCTGCTCTCATGTGCACATGCCCCCACACAGAGACTGGTATACACATTTAAAAAAAAAAAAACTATAAATATTTGGCAAATGCACACATTTATACTTGTCTTAATAAACCTTTGAAAGTCTTATCAATGCAGCTAGATTCTTTTAAATGTCTCAGAGCCACAACCTTTTTAAAATGCAAAAGAAGTTACATCGCTCGTTGTATTGCACCGAGCTAGGTTATTTCACAGATATGAACACCAAGGCACCATGAGAGTATTGTTTAAAGAATACGGCATTCGGGGAAAGTGCTTTGCTCAATAGACAATGTGGTGTTTGTATGCTTCTCGCCAGTGTGGTTTCATAGAATTACTATGTCTAGGATGAGAGTAA